AAGTGTGACCAGCTATCTGTCGCTCTCGGTCTGCTGCACGTCTGCAGCATCTGCCTCCAGGAGAGGCTCATTAGGCCCGTCTCCAGGAGAGATCTTCCCAGCTGCTGCTGGCACATGCCCCCAGAGCGCCGCCTTGAGCGCTGTGGAGGAGCTGGGCTCGCACTGCGTGGAGCAGAGTTCTTCTCATTGATTAGCTCCGTTAAGATTACAGGCATATTCTTGTCAAAAGCACGGGACAACCCACGGCGGTGATGGCGTCATTCAGCTCTTATAGCATCTCCAGCCCTGTGAGGTGTCTGCACTGTTGTTTTCTCTCCCGAATGGGACCCTCTGGTGCCAATCCTAGCCCGCGGTGCCACCTGAGTCATGCGCAGGGTGTAGATGTGAGTTGGCTTTGATGGATCTCTGGCCCCGAGCCACTGGGGGCTTCTCATTCGCTCTGACACTCAGGTGGAGCTACCCCTCCCTCCCCCCACCCCCACACCTAAGAATCACAGACCTATGACACAACTCAGCCGGGCATGTCTGCTTTCTCTATCACCTAATAAGACAAACTGGGAGGCCATTAAAGTTTTGGAGTGGAGCCTATGACAGATGCAGGAAGTGGCTTCTTAGGGCTCTTCCTGACAGCTGTCGGCTGTGATGGGTGAGCTGTACGTCTTGTTATTCTCTGGCTCGTTGACGTATTATATTAAGCCCTCCTTTCTTCCTCATTTTTACCAACCTCAGAGGAGAGTGAGTTGTATCACGCATTCAGCACTTGACACGCCTTTGGAAGAGGATCAATCTGGGATGTAATTGTGAGGTCGTTAGCGCTGAGTCTGAGCACAGGAGTGGGATTGGAACATACCTGGGTTAAATGAGAGAGATGAAAATGGAGTAATCTGGGACATACAGATGATTGCTGAATATTTGTATTAAGGAAATATCTATTGCATATATAATTGGAAATATTAACTAGCTTAGAGATCATGGTTTCACCAGTTTCAGGCAGATTGAGTGAGGGAGAGAAGGACAGAGGCAGAGAGATGGAGGCAGTGAGAGTGAGGGAGAGAAGGACAGAGGCAGAAAGATGGGGCAGGGAGAGTGAGACGAAGGAGGACAGAGGCAGAGAGATGAAAGCAAGGAGAGAAGGATAGAGACAGAGAGGGAGGCAGGCAGATTGAGGGAAAAGGCAGATAGAGAGATGGAGGCAGGGGGAGTGAGGGAAAGAAGGACAAAGGCAGAGAGATGGAGGTAGGGGGAGAAGGAAAGAGGCAGAAATGAAGGCAGGGAGAGTAAGGAAGACAACAGAGGCAGAGAGATGGAGGTAGGGAGGGAGGAAGAGACAGAGGCAGAAAAGGAGGCAGGGTAGGTGAGGGGAAGAAAGACAGGCATAGAGATGGAGGAAGGGAGAGCGAGAAAGAGAATGGAAGAGAAGTAGAGGAAGACAATGAGACTGGCAGTGTCAGAGTAGAAGGCAGGAAAAGATGGATAGATGAGGTAGAAAGGTGAAGAGGGAGAGCAACAGAGAAACAGAGGAGGGGGGATGGTGGGAAATTGGTGGGTTTGGCTTCCTTTGGTGTTGTGAACGTGTGCTGAAGGACAATCAATATTAAAATGATCCAAAGCTGACCTTTTGCATTGCATGGGGAAGGGGAACCGGGGGTGGGGGGAATTAAAAACATCCCTGGCTTCTTTGATGTCACATCTGGCATTTCTGGGAGGGGGGCCACATGGAGTGTGTGGCAGGCTTTGCTGACATTTCCCTGCATCCGTCAGCGGACACGGATGTGTGTGCGTGTGGACATCCGTGTGCCTGCATCTCCAGGGCTTGTGCCTGTGCCTGTACACTCGTGGGGACGTGACTCCGTGCGCTCGCCACCGTCGCCGTCTCCACCAGGCCTGCACAGCAGGCGGAAACATCGCCAGTGATGTTTATTCGCTCAGTAACGAAGGGAGCGAATAGGATTCGATATAAAAGGGCCAGGCCTGCTTCCCCGTGCCTGCATTCATAATTAGCGTTGTTAAATGGTGCTGCTGGTTTGAAGGTTACTGTACCATAGTCCCCAGTGCTTCGTTTTTCTGCCATTCCTAGTGCTGCTTTTTAGCAGAATACGACAGTGAAATATTAAGATAATCATGTGAATGATAAATACGTCTGATTTATGTATAGGCAGGAGTCTGGAGGCATGAACAGCCTGAGATATTAATCTAGACATTAATCAAGGATGGGTGGGTCAAGTGGAACAGACCTACAGGTCTGGGTTTGTGTTGGAGCTGTGTTTTCTCCAAGGTTGGAGCTGTGGGCCCCTGGCACCTCGGGCCCCCAGGACGGCCGTCGGCGTGGGAGGATGACACCGAGCCACATTGTTTGAGACGCACAGACCCCAGCAGTGTGCAAAACTCCGCCTTAATCGTCAGAGCAGCGGGGGGGGGGGGAGTTGGTGGCCCTGGCATACAGGCAGTGCTGCGATTATTTAGCTGCGCGGCCTAGTAATGAAAATATTGCCTTTTAACTCCTCAATGCCGTCCGGCTCTAAGAGGCCCCTGGAGAGGTCAACGCAAGATGTTGCTTTTTAAAGGAGTTTACCCCCCACCGCTTATTGGGATTCATAAATTCATACATTCAGCATCTGTGGTTAGACATAAAAACTGCCATAAAAAGGCTCATTAGGGACAGACAGGGAAGGCAGCGTTTGGGAGAGGGTTGAGGCTACAGGGGAAGGGCGTCGCAAATTATCAGGCAGAGACGGAAAAACACAAGGCGGAGAGGAGAGGACGGGCGGCGTCGTCAGGCGGCGATGGAGACGGAGCTCCGCTGTTTCCACGCCAGCCCATAACATGCTGCCCAAAATTTCACAGGGACCTACTGTGAGATGCCAAGCGTGTCAGGTAGGAAAAAGTAAAAACGATCGTCCTGCCAGGAAGGAGAGCGTGCAGTGTTGTGAAACAGGCAGCGGCTTGCCACGCCCGCAGGGACAGGGAGTGACATCACAGCGGCCCATAAACAGCCCGTCTGCCGCGATATTACTTGTATATTACTCCATTAGCGGCCTCTACACCAGCATCAGATGCTCTGATCGCCGCATTCTTGCAGCACACATATATTGGCGGCGTGACATTAATCTGGCCTCGCCAATAAAGCGAGCAGGAGGGAGGCGGATGTGCAGCCGCTGCGCCCAGGCTGGCGTCTGAGCCATTAGCCTTGACGAGTGCCTCCACCTCCGGACGGGGGCCGAGAGCGCAGGGGGGCAGCCTGGCCAGCAGGTGGCGCTATGATTCCCGGGACAAGCACTCACAGGCTGCAGGCTCCCTCCACTAACCTGCCATTCCCTGAGCGGCCGATATTTGTGGAGTTATTTTTCCTTTTAACTTCTTTTATAGTTACCCTTTTTAATAACACTTTATAATTATTCTTTAGAAGTAAGAAAGACGCCTGTAAGTGTTAGCTAATCTGTGTGGGTGTCTCTATCCTGCTGTGCGTTATCCCTGTCCGAGAACAGCCCACCAGGCAAAACCCCATAATTAGTCAGACAATTAAAAGCTTGTCACGTCTCCTGCCCCCCCTCCCCAACCTGCCAACTCGCCACAGTCATTTCCATAAACGCCGCTAAGAACTATCTTTCGATCTCTGCCGACAGGCGTCTCCCATCCATCACATCCGCTGCTCCCCTCAGCCTACACCCCCACCCCCCCTTTCATTTAATAAACAGGGCGGGCAGTCAGTGGGGGGGGCGGGGAGGGTGCCACGCAGAATCCTGGGATGCTTTTGCATCAGGATAGAGGCACTGGCTCCTATGAAGTTTTCAGGATTATTTGAGGCATTTGACAGAGAAGTAAACAAGATGTTCCCTAGACAGACACTCATGTCTTTCTTTTGCGTCCCGTCCCCCTCTCCGCGTCTTTCTCTCTCTCTCACTCCCTCTCCGTCTGTCTCTGCCTCTGCTTCCTCACCCATTACCACAGAGCCCATGGTATTGTGGGCCCACCATAGATCGTTGTCATAGAAGGGATCTCTGCATTTACCTGCCAATCTGCAGCCAGTGAGTCAGAGAGCAAAGACATTAGCCTGATAGCATGTGGGGTGTGTGTGTGTGTGTGTGGATTATGTTTATATTACATTGTGGGGACCAAATGTTCCCCACAATGTAATAAAAAAAGTGTTATTTTGATGTTGTGGGGACCATTTTCCAAGTCCCCACAAAGATCTGTGAATGAAATCAAAAAACTAAAAATGCCAAAATCTCGTATTTTGTTTGGTTACTTATGGTTAAGGTTAGGGCTGGGTAGGGGTTACGGTCATGTTGGGATTAGAGCAGGGGTGGACAATGTTATCCAGAAAGGGCCGCTGTGTTTGTGGGTTTTCGCTGCAACTTCCTAATTAGATCACTAATTAGAGGACTGATTGGCTGAAGAGTCCTCACACCTGGGTTTGAACAGCTGACCTAAAGGTTATCCCAAAAACCTGCAAACAAACCGGCTCTTTGCGGATAAGACTGGCCACCCCTGGATTAGAGTTTTCCCCATAGAAATTAATGGAGAATCCCCAGAAAGATATAATTACAGACCTGTGTGTGTATGTGTGAGTGTGCGTGTCTGTCTGCCTCGATTAGAAATGCGATCGCCCCCAAAACAGAAAGAGAAGCAGGACTGGGATTAACTGATAAGAAAATATGGGGGAAGATAAGGCAAAGGTTATAGATAACGGAATGTGTGCGAGCGGCCAGCAAAACATAAAGATGCAGAAAGTCACGCAAAGTGCCAGCAACTACTTTTTTGGGGGGAAAAAAAGAAAATTCCTGACCAAACCAGTATGGCATGTGCTTGTCACTGGGAAGATGCTGAGGGGTGATGTCCTTCACCTTGTGCACTCCGTCAGCCTCTGATCAGTTGTCTCCATCTCTCGTGTTCGGTCTGAGTCGCATCCGCGCTCACGCTGTGGGCCGACCTTGTGGGCCAGCGGAAGGAGCTGCCCTCGTTTGTTGGGTGACCTGCAAGGGGTGCATGAACATACGTGAATATGGATGAACATGCGTGAATATGCATGAACGAAGACGATCTGCGGGACCCCTCGGCGACAGATGGTGTTTTTATGAATTTGCGCCGCATTAGCAAACTAACAAGACGAAAAACAAAGAAAACCGATGCGAACGCAGTGGCTTGTGGGCCCTTTCGCCTTGCTGAGTGTCTAACACATAAAAAATGTACAAACGAGAGGAGGCCATCATACGTCTCCCATCTATCCTGCGCCCCTTTCTCTGGCTCTTCAGCCAATTGCTGACTCTAATGATGGATTTCCACACACGTCCGGCGTCCACATAGGTGCGGGTTATCTCTGGATGGTGGTAAGCGATGGCACGCGGCTCGGACCCAGCCTCCTCGGCGGACGCGGGCTGGCGGGGGGGGGACGCGTCTTTGATCACGCAGATGCGCCGGCATGGGGATGCATGGGTGCGTATGGGAGATGCTTGGCAGAGTCAGACTAGACAGGCAGTGAGACACAAACGGATACCACACCAACACCTGTCTGCATATGTGCGCCTCCTGGGGAGATACCGACCACGGTCTCCCCTTCTGAAAGGTAGCAGCTGTATGAGTCCAGCCCTCCAGTGGATCTCTGATCTGCCCCCCCCCCCCACCCCAAACACAGCAGTGTCTGTATCTGTCCAGTCTTACATTGTGCTTGCTTCTCTCTCACACGCTCTTCCTCATTCCTCCCATCTAGCCTCATCTCCTCCAGGCGGTACTACTTCGAGGTTCTGCATAAGCAAGACGACAAGGGTTCGGACCACGTGGAGCTCGGGGTGAGTCCTCTGACTTGCCGGACGGCGCTGGGCACACTGAGCTCCTTGTGCGGCTCTCGGTTTTAACCGGAAGTCCACCAGTGGGAGCCCAGCATTGCCATGACATCTGCACAGTCACATAGGTCTGGGTGCTTGACTCTGCGATTCACTGCGGTTCCCAGTACATGACATTTAATATTTTTTTAAAGAACATCTCTTTTGAGCAAATCCAGTGCAGGAATTTAAGTCCATTAATAATCAAGGAAGTGGTAAAACAATACGACCCCAATGAGACGATGTGAGGCCTGGCTAGAATCAAAAGCCCCTTGTTGAAACAGTGACACCCCCCCCACCCGCCCGCCTACTCACTCTGAGCCGCTTGGCCCTCATCCCGAATCAGGGCCTCGCTGAGCCGGTTCTGCTGCCACTCCTCCTTCGCACGGCTCCTGCTCATGCAGCGCACATCCTCACCCATGGGCTCCTCTTGCCAGGGCCGTGTCAGATGTCACAGCCAGACAGAGATGCAGAAGCACATTGCCCTGCATTGCCTGGATCTCGAAAAACCCTGATATGGAATTCACAGAAGGGGACATTTTTTAACGCATGTTGTTTGGTAGAAACAGTCCCCATTTAGCGACCGAGTTCCATTCCAACTACAAGGTCGTTAAGTGAGACACAGTCGGCAAGGCGTGACTGCAACTATGCTTACAATTTTTCTTCAGCCTTCCACAATCAGTCTCTTTTATCTGTCATGAAGTGACATTTTTAACAACATTTTATACATTTTACTTCATAAATCTCTCTCACTCCGCAATTTTTTATTACCAAATGTCTGCTAACTGAGAGTTGCTTAATGAAGAGCGGTTGAACTCATTATCCTTCGGCTTTTTGAAAATAAAGTTTTTATTCATTTTAGTTGAGAGTATGCGTGCTCTAAATGTGTAGTATTTTGGGACATCATCTTAAATCTCTATTGTTCTGGAGTCCTAGAGATCCAGACCTTAGCAGAAAGCAGAGCGGCTGAGCACCGGTTCCCTCACGGAACACAGCCGTTGCCTGGAAGGAGGAAAGGCCACTGGGAGTGTGTGCGCATGTGGAATCACGGGCCGCCGTTTGCGAGATTTGTGGCTATCCTTCCCCGGCCGCTGACATGTGCTCCGTCTTAATGATACAGCTTTCAAGCTCAGCTTAGTGGCTCCGCCGCTTTGTGTGGAGACAAAGAGAGGCTGACCTTTCCAGAAGGCGGGGGTGGTATAATTTAGCAGACGACCTTTGGAACAGGAACGCCCGTGGCTTTGTGAAGAGGAGGCTCTGTCATTATACTCTGCAGAGAGAGCTGTTTATTGTTGACGTGCCTCTACTTCTTACAACACAATTATTATTATTACCATTGTCTCTCCTTCTTATTATAATTGGCTATAATGCTCTTCTATTGGTTTAAAAAAAAATCTGAACCAGGAAAGCAACAACCCTGTGGTATAAAAGAGATAATGGACGGTCGTCATTCCCTTCCTGCCAGTCAGTACGGCACGGCATACGGCCGCCATGTTTCACCATCCCCGTTCACCGGAATCCGAGTCGGACATGAAAACACTTGCTGCCGTCGGCTATGAGAGCCGAGCCTGACGACAGCAGCCAAGCCAGGGGTATTTTAGTTATACAGCGTTTTTTACAGCCATATCGACTATCAACAGGTTATTATGGGAATAAGGGATGTAAACAAATGAAGGCACATAACAATGGCACTGCTCCCCTGACAGAGATATGAGTGTGTGTTTACAAAGATAGACAAAGAGCCTCCATTACCCTGGGTAACATGGATGACCGTTGACCTACTTTTCCTCCGCTGAATATCTGCCTGCAGCCATAAAATACTAGCTCCTCTTATTAGGTTCATGATGATTACGATTATTATTTTTTTATTATTGTCACAGATATATTGTCGTAGACTCGCACTGTTTCCTTCCTATGTTGTTATTCACGGTTGATGGAGAAACAGGAAATGAACTGAAAGGCTTCTGCGATCGCTCCTTTAAGACACCATGGATCAGAGGAAGTTTAAAGTGCCGATCTGGGCATGCAGCCCCCCTGCCATCACGTGGCGCCCCATCTGCCCTCCGACCGCATGGAAGGCCTCGTGGCGAAGTACGGGTGTGCAGAGGCCTGCCTGCACACTGGCTAGCTAAGGCCAAGGCCCGTTCATTAAGCAAGGCGCAGCATAAGTGCTGTTCCGTTCACAGGCCTATGTCTGAAAATGTTTCCAATCTTGCAGGACCATGCGGATGACGCGCTCTTTGCTAGGCTATAAATAACAAGTCTCATTTATTTCATTACTGTAGGAAAAATAGAAAGGGGGGAGAAATGGCCACTGGAAGGAGCGTGTCGGCGAGGTAATTGGCAATGGTTCTCTGTCAAACTCTGCTCAGCCCTCTCATGCATGAATTATTGAAAACTGCTGCAGTGGGGGAGGGGGGGCAGGGGCTGGGTGGTTACGTAGGGGACGCGTAATGAAAACGTTACTCTTCAGTAGGGAAAACAGCGTTTCTTTTGGTGCCATGGCTGGACAGTTGCCCACCCAGAAAGGTGTGGGCACGCCCAGACTTTTGGCTTGCAGCCTCCCCCCGTTGGTGTTTATGTTCCGGCCGGCCTCCATTACCCATGGCTTCATTAGGTCAGTAAAAGAAGCAGGGAAGGGGGGTGGGGGATTTGAGACAGAGCAGGAGCTGAAGGAAAAGCTGGATGTCATTTCGCCACTGTGTTTGTTGGCTCTGCCAACTGTAGAGGTGGTTTTGAGCCTTGGAGGTGCCAGAGAGATCCATAAGGGTTAGAGATGTCCATAAGGGTTAGAGAGGTCCATCAAGGCCAGAGAGGTCTGTAAGGATTAGAGATGTCCTTCAGGGCCAAAGATATCCATCAGCGCCTCACTAGTATCTCCAAGTTGGCTTTGAGCATCTGCTACGTTGTGGCAAGCTGGAGACCGCCGGCCACACATCTCCCACGGCAACGCGCTGCTTAGCAAGCCCCGGATCAGCTGCGGGAGAATCAGCTCTCCATCTCCAGCAGCAGAAGGCAGCCTGGAAGCCGGACGGATGGCGGCTTAAACACTGACATCTGCTGCACTCTTCGTTTTTTTTCTCCGCACACTGGCAAGTGTGTAACTGACCTTTCCAGCAAATCAGTGCAAACTAATCTGACAAGCTGGCTAACCCAGAGGCTGAAAGAACAGCATCTCAGTGTTGTTGTCATGATGATGCGTGACTCAGAGGGCAACACTGTAACCTCCCGCCTCCATGACTAGGGGTTCAAATCCTGCCTCTGTGTGTTTTTTCAGCCCAAAAACGTGCAATTAGGCAAACTGATGTCTGAAAATCGCCTGTTGGGTGATGGGCTTGCATGCTATGCAGCCAAAGCTCTGTGTGACCCCTCTACTGCATAAGCGTTTATGCGTTTTCATTATCATTATTAATGGCTGCTGTAAATGGGAGGCGTGTTTCATATGGTATCAGTTCACTTTCAGACACATCAAAGGCCACAAACTCGATGGGAGCCCTTTTAAACACAGCTCTGTAAAATCGTAGAACACCCACTTGTAGCCAAAAGGCAAAATGTCTTTTTAAGTGCTAATTCACTCTGTTATTATCGCGGCGTCGTTACTCAGCGTCCGATGGATCGCCGCAGAATTACTTTCAGAAGGTTCGCTTTGCCAATTAGGGAAGAATTAGGAGAGCTGTGTTGTGTCTGGAGATGATGAAGATCTTTGATGTGCGTTTATGGTCACGCTGCTATTAGTGCACGGGGAGCGCCTCGTGTTCGGTCAGCATTGTTCCTGGCCTCGGCCGTTCAGGGCCGGCCTTTGATTGATCCTCAGGCTGGCAGACATGACCTTGAGCGCGGCCAAGCATGCAAGAGGGGTGGGTAGAATGGCTTATTCACTGGGGGTGGGAGCGGGGCGGACGTTCCTCGCTGGGATATTGGAGCTGAGCCGCCCTCGTAGTCTGGAGTGTTCCGCCAACCCCGCGGCCGCGTGGCAATGATGCGGGAAGCGTGTGAAGCTGAAGCGTGCAGCGAGGAGGAGATCCACTCGGGGGACCCACGTGAGGGAGCTTGCGGCGTGTTGACGGGCTCTGGCCTGCCCGTGGAAAATGGCCTGCCTCCCTTGATTACGCCGAGGGTAACGAGAAGTGACACGGTAATTGCAGAATCCCTTTAAGAGAATTGTAGCCCGTCTATCGCAGCAAAGAGGTAAAGACTGCTCACCCCAGCTGAGGACGGCAATGAAGTATTTTGCAGAGATCACCTGGTTGGGTCTACTTTCCATGTTTAGCCTGACTTGGAGAGAGTCCCCCCCCCCCCAGCTCAATTCATATTGGCAGGTTGAGGTCGCGAACTCACCCATGATAATCAGTATCTGAAAATGGGGGCACGGTAGCGGTTACCTGTTTTCTGTTACCCTGACCCTTCTGCCAATATGAACTTGCTCAGGACGGTCTGTTTTTTTTTTCCAGTGGCGTCCCTTTCTGCCCGGCCTGAAGTACGAGGTCATCGACTCCGCCCACATCTCCTTGTACACTGGTAAGGCCTCCACTTTGATGAATTACAGGAGCAAAACTTTTTGGCCCAATATGCAATTTTGTTCCCTATGGATATCCACGGTGGTGCAACTCCCTCCCCTCCTTCCCCCCCATACTGAACATTACGGCGTGCGGGACACTTCGAGGTGGTGCCCCGCGTTGCGGAGAAACACAACGGCCAATGACGGCCACACTACCACGTGCCGTGCCACTATTTCTCCTTACGGATTCTTTTGTTCTTCTTAGAATGAGCCTCTTGAAACATGAAATTGCAGCCACTCAAGGTCGGTCTGCAGCACAGGGGCATAATTAGAGTTTGAAAGTGTTCCTTTAAATCAATAACATGGCGGGAAAGGATCACAGATTTTAATAGAAGGTGTTTTACACTGTCGCTGTGGCCATGTCTGACGTGCCTTAACCACCATGAGGCGCTCTTCCCTTCGCCTTAACGAACCTGCCGCCCTTCCTGCATCCGACGGGCTGCACTCGGTGACGCAGAACAGCCAGAGCCCAGCTTGCGTTCATAACCAGCTCCTTTCTCGCTACTGATTTTTATCATTAAATTCGCTCACTTCTTCAGGGCTTAATTACAGTTTATTTCATTTGTTTCACACATCAGTGGCCCCCATTCCTCTATCTGAGATCCACGTTGTAACAGAGGACTTCAGCCGCCCCCCCCCCCCTTCCCCCCACATGCTCGTCTTAGAAGCTGGTTAATTTCTCTAAATTATTCATAACGGTTAAAGTGACTTTATCGCGCCCGGCCGAATCTCCCATTTCCCCTCAGTGTTATTGGCTCTTATATAAAGTGCCTCTGGTCAATAGGCTGGTGAGCCAGCCAGCGGCAAAACAAGAAAGGGGAATAAAAGTGGGATTTCTGAATCGATTTATTGATTAGAACGCTCCTCTGCAGTCGAGCGCCGAGACAGGACGCCCCCCCACCCGACACCCACAGATCCCTGCGTTTTTAAGCCAGCGTCCACGAAAGTCAGGCGGCGTTTAGGTTAGCATCAAAACGTTAGCGTCAGTATTAGCATGTTCCTCGTTTAGAGTATTTGTTTATTTATATTGTCTCTCTGCGATTTTAATCCTTTTCCCGGTTAACGAGCTCTGGGGTGCTGGGATATGTGCAGGCAGACATGGAATATTACCGTCCGTGGGACGGTCGCTCCGTAACCACGGCGACGCTTCTGCCACCGCAAGGATTGTTAATCATTCGACGTCCCTAACCCCTGGCAGCGTTTCTCCATGGAGCGGCGTGCCTTATCGCGTCTTTGCCCGGCTTGCGGCGTGACTCATCATGGGGGCGATGGAGGTAGTTGCCGTTATGGTCTCCCATTAACCAGACTGGGAGGAGGGGCCTTTGTCAGCCTGTTGCCATAGCTGGAAACGTGAGGTTAATTGCCCTGCTCTCCACTTACTCCACCGAGACGAGTCTGATTTAGTCCACTGGATGTGAGAGAGGTGGCTTTAAGCTGTCAGCGTGAGAATGGCTTCTCTCTCGTTCCCTGACAGCCCCGATTGCCTCTGTTTGGCCTGTCCAGCTCTCCACAGGAAGCCGGTCAGTTCAATAAGCTGCACAGCATCAGCTGGGTTTAGCAGCAAAAGCACCTCACTGGTCCAGAGTTATAATCAGTGTAAATAAAGTAATTTTCTGTTTTGCATCAAAGAGGTTTTTTCATTCATTGTTCATAAAGGTAGTTATACAGTAGTTCCCCGATTCACAGAAACTTCCCGAAAGGTGAAACAGGTTAGGCCTTTATAGATTAGTGAATGGAAACTCAGTGCTCCATATGGAGATACGTATGGTTTCATGAAATGGATCTTTGTAAAGCTCAACGTTTATGTAGACCCACTTTTTTCCTCCTTAAATTTCTCCACTCGGGCTTGAGAGGAGTTTAGCGCCTTGGTTGTCGTGGAGATGAGTAGACGCACAAACACATACAGGCACACGCACCCCAAGGTGAATCCCCTGCTGATCCCTCTGCTCAGCATCCGTACCCCTGCATGCGACAGTGAAGCAGCATCGAAGGTGACACCGTTGAAGTTCTACACGCCAGCTCCTCTAATCACCTCCGTCATCCCAGCTCCTTGTGGCCAGTACCCATGATGCTCTGCTTGTCGCTCCACGGGGGGGAAATGGTTTAGGTTTTTACTTAATTAGAAAGTACGCATCGCGCCAGGCCCGTCCTCCAACACTCCATTAATCATACTTCCACTCGCTTGCGCTGCTGATCGATAAGATTAATTAAAAGCAGCTTTCACCCGTAGCCCTTCTCGGGAAGTATTCATAACCCAGGAGGGGTAGGGAGTCCGGTCTCTCACCCCAGTCCGTACGAAAAGCTCTCCTCTTGGGAGCGTTTGATGCTGGTACCCCCCACACCCCAGCCCCCGCTATTCATCTCCCTACAGCTGTTTCCCTCATTAGCGGTGCCTCCTCCCTTTGAAGCGTCCCCATGAGCCTGAGATGTTCGTGAGGTGGCTCAGTCGGCTGAATCACCACAGACCTTCGGGGGTGGGGGGGGGTGTTCACTCGCCCTAACTCATTTGATCCCCACTGCCCCTTCGGCAGATGAATCGGCTCTGAAGATGAACAGTGTGGACCACATCCCCCAGACCCTTGCCAGTCACGGCCGCGTCCCTCAGGATTCGCCCAGCGCCAAGCGGCACGGGGCAGACATGCTAAAACCCGATCCCAGAGACACCTTCTACAGGAGTGAGTACTGGATCCCCGGCACTGTTCGTCCATGTCTGTCCACCAGGGGGAGCCATTTCCTCATAGTGCAAAACAGCACTTGCAATTCACTGGGGAGCCAATCTCGACCAATGAATCATAAAGTATATTTTGGTATTGCCTATTGAATTATTACTGTCGCCATGATTATTTTGGCTGTAATGTACTATAAGGTGATACTGGAATGATATCGAGGTGAAAGTGAGACCTGAACTGCCCGAAAACGCGGATTGAGCAGCTCATCCTCTCCCGTTGCGCAGTACCCATGGTGGACCCAGCCCGGCTGGAGAACGTGCTGCCGGCCTGCCTGTACTCCCCCACTTACGTGGTGAAGGACTTCCCCATTGCCCGTTATCAGGGCCTGCAGTTCGTAAGTCATGCTCTCCCTCTAAACCCCCACCCCCCCCACACCACACCCCACGCGCACACACCTCCCAACCAGCAGGGGGCGCCACTACATGTTTCCCTCCACATTGGCTGGTGTCTTAGATGGTCCATGCCTCACACTTGGATCCCTGACTCTATATAATTTAAATTTGGGTACAAATATTTCTGCATATAGAATCACTTCTCTCGGATCTCCCGGGGTGGTGGACACACCTTGCCTTCATTTCATTTGCATTTATTCTGGTTGCCTTCTTACTCCTCAATTTTTCAGCAGTTGTTTCGTGAGAGGCAGCCATACACATACGCAATACGCGTTTTCCCTCCGGTCAGGAATTACATCTTGTTGTTTTTCATCAAGCCCCATCCTGTGTTATTCCCTGGCTTGTGCTCACATCTTCCGGGACAGAAGATAGAAGATAAGAGCAAAGTCTCCCAAATTACTTAACGCAAGTGGATTTTCTGTTCAGAACTGCACCTGCTGCTCCATGCACATCTTGCCTCTTCCCGTTAGTTAGGTTTAGGGTTATGCTGCCCCCCTGTGGCTAATACTTGTAATTGCACTTGCAAGGTGCAAAAGAAAGGAAAAAAAAAAACAAAAAAACAATTTGTATAAATATGTTTGCTTTGGAACTTTTTTATGCTTGAAATGAAAGGTTAGATATTTTTTATTTTATCACTTAAGCAAGATGCATTTCACTTTGGGAATATTGGTAAACCATTAAGCTTGTTTTTAAAAAGTTCTAGTATAACCGCATGGGACAAAATGTCCTCGATTCAGATTTCTGGATTTACCTTTGCCCCGTCCTCTGTCCCCTGCCCAGGTATACCTGCCCTTTGTCTACCCCAATGACTTCACCAGGCTTACCCACATGGAAAAGGAGAATAAGTGTTTTTACAGGGAGTCTCCAATCTACCTCGAGAAGTAAGATCTTGTGTCTTCCAGCGGAGCGTGAGGGGTTAGGAATCCATGTCGTTGGCTGACTGGGAGAGACACAGTACAGGATCATGAGCTAATAGCTATTAATTAGACTTGAGAAGAACAGCCTATAAGACCCAACCAGTGCGGAATCTTAGAGGGGATTATTCCCAATGACTTCAGCCGCTTTAGCTGCTTATTGTGTACTTTTATACGGTTATGCTTTTAAAATCATCTGGCTTAATTATAGTCCTTGACACTTAAATAGTTTAGGTTAAGTACCGTGTTGAAGCTTGTGATGGCAGTGTGTCCCTTAGGATGCGAGCTGACAACTTTTACGGCTCGAATCCGTATCGTGGACTGCGGGGCTGGTTTCGACTAGCTCACCCACAGGTTGTGGCTTCTGCTTGCAGGTTTGGCTTCTACAAATACATGAAGATGGACGAGGAAGAGGATGACAGGCCCTTCTTCTTCCCCAACCCAGACGGTGTGCACTCTCCATCCATCGGGCCACCGAGGCCGGCACTACAGCAGCTGTGTTTGCGAAACATGGCGCTGTGTTGCAGATAAGCTCCTCACGTGTAATGAGTCTGGAGGAGGGCCAGGTGCTGATTAAAGGGGACAGGTGCCAGTTTCCTGTCCTCACTCGCCTGTGGAGGGTCTTTGAACTGCTGTTTCTTTTCTAGATTTTTTGGAGGAGGAGGAAGGGGTGGACCCAGAGGAAGAAGAAGTGCCACCTGCAGATACACAGCGGCTCAGGCGTCGGGTCGTCCCAAGCCAGGGGAGCCACACCCGTCCAAGGCCTTCGGCGCCCTCTACAGGCAACCAGGACAGTCCAGGGGCTGGAAATAGCACATTCAGCCAGCAAAGGAGGCATTCCTTTGCACCTGCAGAGCAAGGGGACAGGGAAAGGTGGACGGGACGTGGCAGAGATCTAAGGCCTCCTGAGAGGGAGGCTGGAGGACATCGAGAAGTTCCAGGGGCCCCAGAAGCCATGCCCAGCTTGGTGCGAGGTCGCTCCCTCACCTGGATCCGCACTGGCCCAGATAGACCGGGCCGGCGGGGGGGTGTGGAGATGCCTCCGCGGCTCAGCAAATCGGCGCTCCTGTTCCCGAAGAAGAGCTCCCTCACCGCTCTGACAAGGGCCAAGGAGATCCTAAGCAACTCTGCCCGTCCCGGTCGTAGCATCATCACCAGAGCCAACAGCCTGCCCAGCAAAGACACCCAGAAGGACGCTAATAAGATTTACATCACCAGGCCCCGGCCTTCACGCACCCGCAAGACCGCCACTGCTCACCACCCGAAGGAGGTATTCCCAGGGGTCTTCCTGTATCAGAACGGCAAGACCACCAAACTTGTCACCCTGGGTACTAGGCGACGGGGTGAAAAGAACTTGCTTAGTTCCCCCCAGTTGTGGCCAAAACCCCCCTTCAAGGATGGCAAGACTGCCTTACTGAGTGGCAACTTCACCAGATTGACAGCAGTAACCAAATCTACCAGCAGGGCGGCGCCGGCAAGGCACCAGTGGGGAAGGGAGGAGGCCATGAGGCAAGGACAGGAGCTGCCCTTCACCCCTAGTAGAGGCAGCAATTCAGTTTATGTGTCCCAGCGCCGAGGCCGTGTTTGGCCCACCTCGCCACACCCCGCGGTTATCAGCCCGAATATCTCTGAGAATCTGCTCCTAACAGAGCCCAGGGTCACCTCCTTCATGAGGACCTACGAAATCACAGAGTCCAGGCTACAGCAGGAGCCCAGCTTGGAGCAGGAGCAGCACACAGAACAGAACCAGAACCAGGAGCAGGAGGAGGGCGGGCTGTCCGACTACACATACGAGGATTCGGACCCCCGGCCGGGTTGGGCGGAGGAGGCCATCAACTGGCAACGTACCTTTTCCTTCAACACCATGGACTTCGAGCTACTGCGCTCCGATTGGAACGACCTCCGGTGCAACGTGTCCGGCAATCTGCAGCTGGCGGAGGCCGAGGTGGTGGACGTGCTGGCGCAGTACATGGAGAAGCTGAACGAGCGTAACGGCGGGTAAGGCGTCCGGGTCCCTCTGCGCCGCAGAAGGTCGTGCAGCCTTGTGGGGAATCATGTGCCTGTTCTCGGCTTGGGGAAACATGTCCGAATATATCCTCCAAACTCCAAGAAGGGCACAAAAGGGGATGGCAGTCGGGTCTGGCCGTCAGGGGCAACACACAGAATGACAAATCGGGCTCCAATTCGGGATGCCGCCCTCACTCTCTGCCTCCGTGGCTCCAAATAAAAAATATATCCCAGTAGCGGTGTGGGAAGGCAGCACACGAGCTTTCCTGCCAAACGAAGACTGGCTGGGGTGAATCAAATTTGGCTTATTTTCCTTGAGGCTTGTCAGACAAGCCACTGGAAGCCATTTCTCAGAGAATAAAAATGGCAGGGCAATGCGGAGCCTCTTTAAGGTCGAAAGGGGCACTCAGTACCATTAAAGCTCATGTCAAAGTTCTCCTTAAATAGTTTGTTTACAAGCTCTCCACAACACTAGTTATTTATACACTCAGTTAATGTACTCAGTTAATATTATCCTGGATATCTGATATTCCTCGTTAAGGCTTTTCCCCGAAACAAACAAGTTGGAAACAATCACGCACTTCCTGACCAAAACTATTAAATAGCAAACAGGAAGGTGCTCAGGCAGAGCACCCCCCACCATACCTGAAAAACGGAACAGTGAGATCCAGTTATTGAAAACAGGCCCGTTATCCTTGACCCTGGACTTTCCTGGACAATAGTGCAACAGAAAATCAATAACAGAAAGTGAATAATTATGCCGATGCAGTAAATGTAGTAAGTTTGCTGAGGGACTGAGCAAAGGGTCTCTCTCTCTCTCTGACAGCATCTACACCCTGCTGCGCATCATCAACGTGGAGAAGCGGCGGGACTCGGCGCGGGGGAACCGGTACCTGGTGGAGCTGGAGCTGATGGAGCGCGGCAAGCGGGTGGTACGGCTCTCCGAATACATCTACCTGCTGCTGCACCGCGGCCGGCTGGAGGACAGCGTGGAGAACGGCGAGGTGGCCACCACCGCCGCCCCAGGCCCTGCCCTAACCGCCGCCCCAGGCCCTGCCCTAACCGCCGCCAGCCCCCGGCCCAGCGGCCGCAGCGCCACCCAGTGGAGCGCCGCCTACACGCGGCCCCTGCTCTGTCAGCCTGTCATGCTGCAGTGGAGGCGTGATGTCATGGTGCACTTTGTGGTTCCAGGTGAGCTCCTCGTGGTGGGGGGGTGACTGGGGGTGTAATAGGAATCAGCCTGTTCTCAGGGTGGCCAGCAGGGGGAGACAGCATTAGATGACACCAGCCAGGAAATCAGGGATGTTCAGTGACATCTTTCCTGATCAATATGCAGGATACACCGTGATTTATGGTATAAAACAGGCTAAGCGTGGGGCTCGGAGCAGCTCTGTCTGCTGAGCGAATGACAGCTCCCGCTCCATCGTTGGAGAAACACCCAGGACATCTGCTCCAGAGATGCCTCCCGTTAGCATATTTCCTGTGTACAAGCTCTTGAAATATGAGTTATTTATGCAGTCATGTAAACAATTAATGTTTTCCTGCAAATCTGATACTTCTCTTGTTCAGCCTTTTCCCAAAACAAACAAACTGGAAAGGAACGCACGTTTCCCAAACGTAAGCATGGACTTCCGGAGCAGGACAGCTGCTAGGCGGCTGGGTCCGGGACAGCGGCTGGCTCTGAATGCCGTTATTCTCTGTGCCTCGTGTAGCCTCACGTTTATCTGTCCGCAGGGTCCTTCTGACCTCTGTAAGTAATTCATAAATCCCATAATAAAAAAGCACACATAATTAAAAATGCACAAAAAAAGTTCACATCAGTAGTTTTGAATCAGCTTCATTGTAGTCGAGTTGTAATGAAGTTGTCCGCAGCTGGAGTGGACTGCAGGCCTGTTTGTTTCTCTGTGGCTTCGGGAGGCTGACGCAGAACCTAACGCAGAACCTAACGCAGAACCTAACGCAGAACCTAACCTTTCAAGAGGAGAAGCTGTGAAATCAAGGCAAGGAAAGATGTATTCCAGCAACCCTGTTACAGTGAAACCTTAGTTGGGGGGGAAGGGTGGTTCTGGGCGATGGGAAGGTCACTAGTTCAAATCCCATGGCCAATAGTTCACTGTTGGACCCTTGAGCAAGGCATTTAAGCCTAGCCGTGTTGGGGTCACTGGATTAATGGCTGACCCTGTCTCATTGGACAGCAAGATCGAAATGTCATTGTTGTTGCTACCTGCATAGCGTTGTCTTCTGTTCTCAATCCACCGTCTCTCCGCCAACACCCACCCGCAGTGAAGAACCAGGCGCGCTGGGTGCAGCAGTTCATCTCTGACATGGAGCTGCTCCACCGGGAGACCAAGGATGACAACTTCAGCGTGATCATCGTGGACTTCCAGAGCGAGGACATGGATGTGGAGCAGGCGCTGAGGGAGAGCGCAGTGCCCAGGTGAGCACGCACGTACCAGAACGTCACGTCACGCACGTACCAGAACGTCACGTCACGCACGTACCAGAACGTCACGTCACGCACATACCAGAACATGCCTCTAGCTGGCACTTTAAGCTGCTTCTGGCCCCTGGGGAGACAGTGACATGACTGTCACTGAATGTCAAACTATCGCAAAATGTTGCTTTGTGGTGCCCCCCCGCTCACAAGCTGTACTGTACTGGTGATGGAGTGATATTTATAAGCCCCCACCCCTGTTTTGAATGTGCTACAACAGGTACAAGTACCTCAGGCGGGAGGGGAACTTTGAGCGCTCGGCGGGGTTACAGATTGGAGTGGATACCATCGAGGTGAGAGGGAGGAGCGACCCAGGGGAGCAGGGTGGGGGGGGGGTGTCCCTGTCTTGTAAGGTGCTAGTCTATTTTTAGACTCTAAATATACAGAGTCGGTATTTGTTATGTATGTGAGCTTGCCCTTTGTCTCAAAGAGGTTATTGTTGGCTGATTTGCGAGCAGGCAGGTGTGACCCCGGCCATGTTTGCGCTGCCGGTCGTTCTCAGGCGCTCCCCCGCCCCCCATGTGCTCACACGCACGCGTGTGTCTGTACGCTTTTCCCAGGACAGACACAGCATCGTGTTCTTGTGTGACCTGCACATCCACTTCCCCCACAACATCCTGGAGAGCATCCGGAAGCACTGCGTGGAGGGCCGGCTGGCCTTTGCCCCTATCGTCATGCGGCTGGGATGTGGGAGCTCACCGCAGGAGCCCAACGGTAACACCAGGGGGCAGTATAGACACACAAGCGCAGGAATGCACGCACACACACACACACACACACACACACACACACGCACACACACACTTCTTCATAAGGCCCAGTGGAAATGTTGCTACATAGTCTGCCTTTATCATACATCTCTTTCACAATTTGATTACCCCACCATCTGATATATGTTTACTTATATATATAGTGAATTTTTTTGTATATTGATCAAATCTTATATACAGCTCTGGAAAAAATTAAGAGAGTACTCCATCTGCATTGTTGAATCCTGGTTTAATCCTGGTTCTGTCTGCAGAAGGCTGCATTAAGCGGCTGGTTGCTTCCAAGCTCAAAATTTTCTTTGGAAGTGATTAACATAGTTCAGTTGTATGTGACCAGGGATGCTGGAGGGGCTATGGATACCCGGCTATGGATACCCGGGCTATGGATACCCGGGCTATGGATACCCGGGCTATGGATACCCGGCTATGGATACGCGGCTATGGATACCCGGCTATGGATACCCGGCTATGGATACCCTGGCAGATTCCAGGGGCTCAGTACTTGATAGGGGCCCTTCAACATAAAATTGGATGGGGAGGGCTCATGGTGACATGTTGAGCGCTGTTCCTCTGTCATTATCCACCCCCCAGCGCAACACGCAGGGCCCTTTGAACCAGCGAAAGCTGCAGCCTTCGTACTCCTTGACTGAATCTGTGCTGGATCTATCCGGCTTCTGAAAGAGCAAACTAATCCATCTCCCTTCTCGCTTTCTCAGGATACTGGGAAGTCAACGGATTTGGCTTGTTCGGGATTTACAAGTCGGATTTCGACAAGATCGGGGGGATGAACACGGAAGAGTTCAAGGACCGCTGGGGGGGGGAGGACTGGGAGCTACTGGACAGGTAATCGCAGAGCTGCTATGCACAGCAGTGTTCTCTGTTCTTCAGAGAGTCAAAACAGAGGGCTCTTCATTCTGTGCCTGGCGCTGTCTGCCAGTGTTCCTGGACAGTTCTGGATGGATCAGAGATAGAATCTTTGTTATGGCTGTTTCGGGGTGTTATGGGGAATGTGCCCAGGTGACAGAAGGCCTGCCTGCATGCCCGAGCAGCCCCCATCTCTGAGACCGGCTTGCCTTCCCCTCTTTCAGGGTTCTGCAGAACGGCCTGGAAGTGGAACGCCTCAGACTGCGGAACTTCTTCCACTACTACCATTCCAAACGGGGCATGTGGAACGCCCAGACTAAGAAGAGCCCCAAAGGTTAGACCTCTGGGAGACCACAGGCCTCGGCTGTAGAGGCCGACTCTGCGCTAGAGGGACCTTCTACGGACACGGCCCACTCTGCCCCAGAACCCCTTGGGGTGTTTCTTTTGTAGGGACAAAGATTCAGTTTAGCCGTGTCTGTCTTCTAAGCTGCTCTCCTTACAATAAACAGCTTAAGAGATTTTTTTTTTTTTTAAATCGAGGGCAATTTTTTAACAATTTGGACAGTAGTGGACAATTGTTCTTTGCTTGTGTCTGTTTTTACGACAGATGATGACCCCCTTTATCCTGAAGACCCACCAATCCAGGCAGCATAGGGAAGGAAATTCAAAATTATATCAATGACATAATTTAACTCTCAAAATGTAAACGTGGAGGTGGGAAAACTGTAAGAAGCTTCCAGAAGGGTTTAGCTTGGCAGGGAACCTCCTTTGGTGCTTCTTTATTTTTAACAATGCCTGATTATAAGCTGTGTGCCTGTCACTGTGTTTGGGTGAGGGGAGGGTTACAAAGCAGTTTTTTTTTCTTCATTTTTCTCGTAGCATTTATCTGCAGAGTAAGACCTTCCAGAGGCGTGGATGTCGAACATAAATCCCCGTGCAGCTACCAGGTTGCATTAGAACCTTGCTGCTGCCGTACAGCGAGAGGCTCCGTGCAGACGGCCCAGGGAGTAGGGGGAAAGATTACTTGACTGGCTGATCGCTGAATTTGCAATGTACCATCCAGCAGCCCCCAACCCCAAAAACGGTCCCACAAAGAACTCCCCATTGTTACAGAAGCCCCACAGAATCAGTGAAATCAGTTCGCTTTTGTTGCAGTGCTGCCAAGGGATTCGGCACTGTCCCCCCCCCGCTCTGAGACAGTGCCCAGCGAGCTGCTGGCAAGCCCTCCTGCGCAAAGCTTGGGGCGTGACTTTGGCTGCCAGAGCTTGGGGCGTGACTTTGGCTGCCAGAGCTGTGTTTCTTGCGTTCTTGTTTTTTCTTTCTTTTTCTTTCCTCCCTTTTTTAAACATCTGCAGTGGCTGGAAAACAATGAGTGCTTGCATTCCTGTGGTTTGATAGGATCTGCCCCCCTACCCCACCCCACCCCCCTCCAGCTCTTATATACAATATATACAAATGGGCCAAGGATTCTGCTGTGGCTGTAAGAATGTTCTATCAGATGAGATGCTGCTGACCCTGGAAGAGACAGGTAGAGAAGATGGCGGGGGGGTCCATGGCCAGCGAGGCGACAGCCAGGAGGAGGCAGGAAACGGGATGGGGGGAGGGGTGAGGCAAAGGATGTAAAGATCTGACAGATTGAAAGGCACTTACTGTTGGGGAGGGTGGGTGAAAACAGATTGCGGGGGGGGGGGCAGTTACCTGCAGCTATCATAGGTTCTACCTGATAGTCAGGTATTTACTAAGTAGGTATTCCAGCATGGTACTTCTTCGGGGATGTTAGATAAGTGCTAATGTTTTTAGATGTGAGCAACCATAGACCCGCCGTAAGTATTTTATCAACTGAAGTTCTTGAAAATGCCACCTTGCCTCCCTCCGCTCCAAAAAAAAAAAAATGTCCAGATCTCCATTCACCTGCAGCAGGGTCCTGAGCTGTTTAAAGAGGGAGCCACCACACAACAAAGACAGGGACATATGATTCAAGGATAATTTCTGTGAAATTGTTTTTTAGAGAGTTTTAAGAATGTGCTTTTTCTTTATTTTTGTTCTTTTTGAAAATAAAATTTTAAGCTAAAGCCTCAACGGCTTCTGAGTTGGTCTTGTTTTTCCATCAAGGTGCAAAAAATAAAAACAAACTATCAACATTCCATCATATCATCCATCCATTCATCCATCCATCCATCCATCCATCCAACTCTGACTATATTCTGGCCTCTGAAGAATGGCAGTGACTGGCAGACTCCCATAGCTATAAAAAGGACATAGGATGTTGTTACAGAAGTTCCCATAAGAAGGCAAATAATTTTTACATGTTTGAGAAAGGCAATGAATCAAGACGTGTGGGGGGAAAAACGGAACAGAAAATATGTAATCCGTTTTACTTAACAAAATAAAGTAAGCCAGAAAAGTTCAGCTGTAAACCGTAAAATATGTGAACTTTAAAAAAAAAGGAATGAACAAATCCCTGACCTTAAACTGGTGTGCATATTTTACAGTTTAATGCACAGAAACCTATCATGTCTGTGAAAGGGCCTGACGCGGAAGAGAGGCACTGGTATGATGACGCCGGGTGGTAGGTCGCAGTAGGAAACAATCACTCGTTTGATAAATTTACACCTGGAGAAAAACCATATCGTTTACTTTAACTTTAATAGCTGTATCCTGTGAATTCTTTTATACATTTATGTGATTAAATGATGTGTATTCCTTGTAAATCGTATATGCTGACATGATTAATTCATGAAAGATGTTTTTAAAAATACAGAAAGAAATTACAAGGAAAATCACGAGTTTTTTGTATTAAAACGTTCTCGGTATGTGAGATTCAGTGTATACGCGCACACCGCTCTGATTGGCTGGGTGAGATCCGCACGTCCCTGATTGGTCCGCGCCCAGCACTCCGTTCACCGCACGCTGCGCTCCAGTCCTGGGACTTCAGACAGAAGGCGGATATCAGGCGCAGAGCAGGCAGCTTCCTGCTCTTTAAACTACGTCCAACTCATGGGAACTTCCTCCAACGCCGAGAGGTGAATTTCTTCACTGCTTTGCCTCGCACACTTTAACGGGATGGAAAACTAGGTCTGTTTGCGAAGAAAAGCATGAAAGAGGAAGGATCAAAGCGCAGAATGAGACTGTCGAGTGTCTATACTGCCGGAGGTGTAACAACGAGCAAGGGATCTGCTGATTGGACTTCTTGCCTTGATTGTTGACGTCTCAATAATGTGTATAACAAATACATATTTTATGAAGGCACAGTTCAAAGGGAGTGCCGTTTAGGAAAATATTTTTATCCAAAGAACAACACCAGTTAAGGAGAGATAAAGTTCCTGATCCCCATTTGCCCAGAAGCAGAAACCGATCTTGTGTCCCTTACACTGAACACTTAGCATCCGCGGTGCACTATGGCAGGTATCAGCAGTTCCAACATGAAGACCCTGGAGGATCTGACTCTGGATTCGGGTTATGGAGCTGGCGATTCCTGTAAGTCCCTGAGTCTTTCTTCGGCAAAGTCAAACTCGCACGCGTTTATGGGTGCACCACACCGGGCCAACTGGTGGTACTACTCCGGCTCTATGAACAGTAGGAACAATAGCTGGGACACCGTGAACACTGTGCTGCCCGAGGATCCAGAGGACATATTTTCTAAGTGTCCCCGGCTGCCAGAGCTGGAGGAATTCCCCTGGACTGACGAAGAGCTTGGCCGGGTTCTCCGCAGAATCTCCGGCAAAGGAGCCACCTTCTCGTCCGAGTCTGTTCGGAAGCTCTCCGTTCTCTTACGAAGGGCCCTGATACGGATCTCCAGAGAAGCCCAGCGGCTGAGCGTCATGCACTGTCGATGCACCCGCTTCGAGGTGCAGAGTGCCATACGGCTGGTGCTGAGCTGGGCGCTCGCTGAGAGCTGCGTCTCGGCCACCGTAAAAGCCATATCCCTGTACAGCATGAGCGCCGGCGAGTGCCTGCGCAAGGGCAAGTCCAGCCGATGCGGGCTCACCTTCTCCGTGGGGCGCTTCTTCCGCTGGATGGTGGACACTCGCATCTCCGTGCGCATCCACGAGTACGCGGCCATCTGCCTGACCGCCTGCGTGGAGTCCCTGGTGGAGGAGGTGGGCTCTCGGGTGCTGGCGGCTGACGCCGGACTGCACGGCAGCATGCTGACGGCGGAGACGCTGGAGAGCGTCGTTAACAACGACGCCGAGCTGTGGGGCGTCCTGCAGCCCTATGAACACCTGATATGCGGGAAGAACGCCAGCGGTACGTACCCCCGATTTCCAACCTGCCAAATATTAATGCATAAACTTTCATTATTAATGCAGAACTTTTCGCAAAGTTCCTTATAATGCGACGTCAAATAATTTTATTGTGATGGGGGGTCAGATAATTATAGATATGTATTAACTAATTGGATTTGAGTAGTTTACTCGCAACAAATCAAAATTCGCTTAATTTCTCATAGGCCTGAAAAGATCAGACGGGTCCCTTTATTGTAGGCGTGGGAATGATTTGCAGAAGCGACAAATGTCACAAAAACCCGTAGAGCGTGTCAGCTGCATCGTTCCGGCTTCGCCTGGTTACCTTTGCAAATAGTAATCCGGGGCAGGCTGCGGCAGGCAACGTCAGGCCCTGCCCAAGGAGCCGTGTCCTCCGTGCATTAAGCAGCCGCACCAAACCGAGTGTAAAAAGCACATTTCACTATGGGAACATCTTGGTTTGTCCTACTGAGTTATATGGGACACATTTGGCCTCTTCTTTTGGTGGACATCTACTTATTTTTCAACAATACCTGATATGTTCATCGGATCTCATTCACACATATCTATAGTGTTTATCCTTACTGTTACCAGTTGCTGGGTGATTGTAAAAACGCATATTTGCCGTTGCATGTCCTTAGAGATATTTATTTGGGTCGGTTCCCGGCTACTTGTTGGATGTCTGGCGCGTGCTGGATATTCAGTTTGCATAAGGATAGCGGTATGTGCTCCAGAGACTTTGTTTATAATGACAGGAGCCACTGTGTGTACGCTTTAGGTATAGAAGCGAAGTTGTTGAGCTGAGTAAGTGGAATAACTAGCCACCCAATGGATTTAGACTGGCGACCATTTAAATTAGTTTGTTTTTTTTTGTAAAAAGTTAAATGAACTACTTTTTAAACAAACAAGCATTACATTAAGAGAAAAGACTGTTCGTGAAAATGTACTTATATATTATATTGAGCTTACGCTGGTGCCGATGACATCATCAAGACTGGTATCATTAAGACTGGAAGTGGTCTGCATGGCGAACCTTTTGGCGTGTTCGCCGCTGATGATTGACTGTAAACGTAATTACGGCATGTTTGCGGTTTATCAGCATCAGTGTGACCGCCGTCCTTCACAGGCACAGGACGAGCCAGTGCACCCGAAACTAAACGCGAAACACGTTAAAATTTCGTATATACCGAATTCCACAATATTGTAATGTAAGCTTGCAGGGCAGGTTGGGGAAGTGGCAGCACCTGGTGTTCCCTCGTTTGTAACTTTTAAAAACATGTCTGTTTATATCGGCATGTTGAAAGTTGTGTGTGTGTTTTCCTGAGAGTGGCTGCGTACTGCTTGAGCTGGGTTTAGTAATGACATATGATTTTTTTTTTTTCGATTTTCATACAACGCGAGGGCTTTTCACAATGCTCAAAGCCAAGACAGACCACGACTGTGGCAGACCTACACCTTTTCGGTTTGTAGAAGCCCCGTTGGTTACTGCACATCGCCTCTTGGAACCCCTCTCTTGAGTTTCATACCATGAGCCGTGCTCTTTGGTTCATCTCGCTGGGAACAAGCTCTCCGCTGGTCCATATAACATTCCTGAGATTCGTTCGCATTAAGTCCTAGAAAGCAAAGCAGTGACCAGGCTCGCCCTAAGTGTCCATGCGTTTGGCAGTAGCGATATTTATAATATATTTTTTTATAACTCGCACCAATAGGGCAGACAATTCTTCATGTAAGTGGGGCTAATTGGGCCCCTCCCACGGCGTGTGTTTGGGATTTCGGCATGTGAGAGCCCGCCCCCTCGGACTTCGTGTGGAAAGATTGAGGGAACGGCGGCGGGGGCATAGTGGGCCGGGCTGATGCCTGCGAGGCCCTGAACTGGAGGGGCTGTCTTAGCAGCAGAGAAAGGTTCCTCTCTCATGTGCTGAACAGACCCACATCTGGAAAGGTTTAAGGCCAAAATGACTTCTACGGCTCCAATAACAAGCTCGCCTCCCTCCTCCCAACTTTTTTTTTTTTCTTTCTTTCTTTCCTTCTTTTAAAGGCTCTGGTCCACTTCTTCGCCCTGTCTGCTTCATCCTGAACAAAACAGGCCGGCATGCTGTTTTTCATGCCCGTTCGTGGTTAACATGTGCCAGTCCGCATCTCCGTCACAGAAGAGCCTATTCCGAGCTGGGAGATGGGCCGTCATGTTGGCAGAGAATTACAACGCAAAAGAGACAAATTTAACAGAAAATGACATCTGAATACCCCACCCCTTAAGGTCATTTGCACCTGCTTGCATGAAAAACAATAATTGCATGGG